ATCACCAGCTATTAGGGCTGTGAACTCGACTACCGACCGTAACGATACCGGCACTCCCAATTCGGAGGAGACTCTGGATGTACATACGACGCTTCCGCCATCTTTCTTACTTTTCTTGGGCGATTTCATTTACGCCGATGTCCCTATCTACTTCGGAAACTACAAAGAGAGCTACCGGCGCCTCTACCGAAGAAATTACCAGAGCTCAAGCTTCAGAAAAATATACGAAAGACTTCGTACGTTCCCGATCGTTCAGAATAAATAGGCATTTTAAAAGTGTCGTCCTAGCGATGTTCCATATCTATGACGATCATGAAATCATCAACAACTTCTCAGGCGCCGGTAACGATTGGACACTGCCGTATCCCAGCGCCTCAGATGCTTTCCAAATCTATAACGCCAACGGAAATCCCTCACCCCCTCAATCAACCAAGTCGCTCGATCATACCCCATACTACTATAACTTTCACTACGGCGATGTAGCATTTTTTGTGATGGACACTCGAAGATATCGCTCGTTCCCAACTGACCCTTCAGAGGAGAAGACAATGCTGGGTGAAGAACAACTGACCAGATTGCTTGATTGGCTGGGAAAGGTGCGTGCTTTGTAACATCTTACATCCCGTACCTCATCCTATCATAGACGAACAGTACCGCTATATTTAAATTCATTGTGTCTTCTGTCCCGTTTACCTCGCTCTGGGGTCATGACGCGCAATACGATTCATGGGCGGGGTTCGTGAACGAAAAGCAGACTGTCTTAAACGCTATGTACGGTGTCCCGAATGTGTTTGTGATTACTGGCGACCGACATGAGTTTGCTGCTATTGAATTTGCTGCCCCAACCCAATCAAGTTTTGCGGTCACCGAATTTTCCACAAGGTCTGTTTCATTGTCGATACCTGGTCATGTATATATTTACACTGGTGTATATTTTCAGCCCGTTGAGCATGTTCTACATCCCGATCTATCATACACTCAACATGCAAAGCGCCGAGACCTTCACTAGAAAGGTAGTGAAAGAAGCGCCTTCTGTGGATGCGCCTATTCCTGCTCCCGAGAGTCTGCCTGCCATCCCTTCTGATGAAGCAACTTTAGTTCAATCGGACGGAACACCAGTATCTACAGAATTTTCGTTGCAAGTTCCTCCTACCTCCTCTGAATCGGCCAATGAGCACAACGATGAAAAACCGGAAACAGAATTTGTTACTGAAGAGGTCCCCAAAGAGCGAGTGATCAAAAACATTCCTGAAGGAAATTACAAGTGGGCATCAATAGAAGTTGATACCAGAAACCCTGAACGACCAATACTGAATTTGGAGGTCGTGATCGATGGAAAGCCTAGCTATCAGTAAGAATTCTTCCTAAAGAAGTAGTTTTTTCATTCATTCCACTCCTCTAGGTACGAAGTGGTTGGCGTCCCAGTCAAGTTGCAAGGATCGACCGCCTTGGGTGCATTTGTCACGACTAACATGAAGGACATACTGAAAAAGATTGGATTACAACCTGCCAAGTGGTTTTAGCTGCGTATATTTCAGAAATACTAATTCCGATCATGTTGTATGGTGTACATATGTATTCTTCATCTTTGTGGCGCGATTACTCATATTGAACCAAAGAGAGATCATTCAACGACTGACAACGAAAAGATGCTAAAAATCTTCCATAGCCCACCGCGAGGGTCGAACTCGCAGCCTTCAGATTCCCCACCGTAAAAGTCTGACGCTCTATCCGATTGAGCTAGGCAGGCACACATTGATGATCTTCATCGTGAGCTATACCGAAAGTCTTCATAAACAGGCATGTCATTGAGGCATGCAAGATTAAACTGAGGAAGAGAATGATGTGGGTTCCATCTATCTACTTTTTCGCTCTTTTCCCCTTCTCAATGTGCGCCCGCAGTTTTTGTTGCTTTTCTCTCAAACTTGCCTTCTTCTTCCCCCGAACAGAGCCACTGCTCAGGATCATCATGATCGGCTTATTTCTCGCTTTCTCCCTGTTTGTAGAGCTACTGGGAGCATCCTTTGTCTTTTTGCCTTTGCGGGAGCCAAACTTCTCGCGACCCTCCCTTCCTTTTTGTATTGAAGTCATCCGTTCAGCGTAATCAGCCTTGGCTTTTTTACGGGGCCCAAGGATATCATTTTCGGAAATAAAGGAAGCTGATGGATCTTCGGAAATGTTTTGAGATTTGCGTCCGGCTTCAAGCGCCGCGAGCTTTCGTTTCGCGCGATTTCCACCGCCTATATCAACAGATTTTTGAGCTGCTTGAATCTGGAGGTCAGAGAGCAATTTGAAGTCGGCTGGAGTGAGAATCTAAAAAGGAGAGAATCATTTTAATTTTATAATCGGGTTTCACCAATTCCAGACAAACCTTGGTTGTGGCGAGAGTTGATGCATCTTGCTCGAACTTTCTCGTTTCCGTCTTCTCCTCTGTCTCAATGTCCATTCTGTCCTCGTCATCTCCGCTGAAACCATACTCATTTTCATCCACTTCGTCATTGTCTATCTCTTCGTTGATTCCTAGCCCGCTCTTGACTGCTTCCACCTTTGCTCTTTGTTTCTCTCGCTTTTCCTTCTTCGCCCGACGCCTCTCCTGCCGCTCTGTCTCCTTTCCTTTATTTTTATTCTGCTCCTTTTGTTCTCCGTTTTCATTTTCGCTGTCGCTGAGCTCGATATCGCCATCACTGTCGCTGGATACATCTTGCCACCCATCCTCCGAATCAAACTCCGAGTCAGAATCTGACTCGATATCCCAACCGTCCCAACCAGCTTCGTTATTATCGTCTCCCGAATCTGCATCTTCGTGTCCATTTTCTTCTTCACGGAGTTGTTGGAAGTGGTTCTCTAGAAGCTACACCATAAGTGAGTATGTAGAAGAAGCTATTACCAAACATAAACGTACAGAAAGGCCTTCAATATCAACAGCAGCATTGGCTGAGTGACCGTAGGGGAGATTGCGAGCAACAGCAGTCTTCATATTGATACTGGCTTCTTTGCCCTATGTAAACAGAGGGATCAGAAATCTATCGCACATAGAATAAGTAGTACGAACTCGTTCTCTTTTCTTCAAAAACTCTGGGTGAGTCTCTCGATAAAGATGCAATAACCCTCGAGAGGCTGCGATGACAGTTTTGTCTTTGCTCTTCCTATACTCAATTAGATCATTCAACAGAGGCCGTAGATCGACATCCTTGTCACTGGGTCTCTTGCCATCAACATCGTCTATCCCCAACTTACGGATTTCCGCCTTTTCTTTCTCTAAATGTTCGAGCTTCAGAGCTTCGAGTTGGTTTTCAGCGTTGTCCTTTGTATGTATATTTTTCTGCCCATGTTCCTTCTGTTTTCTCAACACGTCGTCCTCGTCTTCATCTCTAGGTCCCATAACCAACGGTTGCCGTCTACAGATCTCCGTGATCGCATTTATTCCAGCTGCTATGACTTCACTTCCAACTCCTGGATGCACAAATTCATTCGCAAGCTTGAGGACAACTGGTTTCAACGTCTGCGGTGGTATAAGCGCGTGTACAGATTGGGCTAGTGCGACCAGTATCGACGGCACCCTCAGTTGTTTCGGAGCGAGCCATTTTTGGATGTAGGAGTAAAAAGGCATGACGAAGAGTGTATGCGCAGATATGACACGGGCAAGGATCTGCATGATTAGAATTTTGTGATCGAGAGTAAATCGTTTGTCGTAACGATCTAGGATAGTGAACAATTTTTCGGCAAACGTCTGAGGATCATTCAGCAATTGTAGAGCCGGAAAATTCGCCCGGGACCGAGAGGTGTCGGGTTTTCCATGTTTTTTCTTTTTGGCGACGTTAAGCTTCTTCTGCAATTTTTTGTCGCCACTACGCGACTTTTTGTTGATTTCACGACGATGGTGGAGCGCACGTACATCAACCTCCTAATCAAATGCATATGGATACGACAGAAATCAAACAAATGGAATTCGACGAACCTCTTCCTCCTCCTCGTCGCTATCTTCCTTTTCGTCGTCATCTCCTAGAAAGAAGTGGATTGATGCACTCTGAACTTTGAGAACTGGATGCAAGCACCCGATAGCAACGATGGAGACTGGCTTTACATCATTCCTACACCATCACGGATGAGCTCAAGTTAAATTTCCGTTGAACGCTTTTGATAAGATACTCACCAGATGCCCTTCCGCCAGAGTTCTTTGGTCAAAATCACAGCCCACATTGCATCTTCTCCCCTTCCTGCCGTTTTATCTGATGTGCCGAAGTGTATTCCATTATTGATCTCCTTCTGCTTCCCTTTGTTGCCAAAATTCGCAACGTCGTCCAAACCGTTTTCGACCATACCAAATAGCATAGCCTGAATTGCACGATTCAGTTTATGGTTCTTTGCTCGGATGTTGGCTGTTCGAATATCGGAAAGTATGGTTTTGCGGATGTTAGACCGTAAAGAAGATGAGGTGGTACGAGGAAGGAGAGGAAAAAGTGTTCGAAGGAGTCTTGAATTACGGATTAGAGTAGATTCAGTGAAGAATACCAAGTCTGGGCTTACTCGATGGACGTTATGACATTTTTGTTTCTCAACAGTACCATGGTGGAAATCAATGCTTTCCGTGTATCAGGCGAAAGCATGCCATAGCTTTCCAGCAGGATGGTAGAGATTTGGGAAGGAAGCTCTGCGGTTTCTTTTGGGTAACAAGTGGCGACCTGGGCGATGAACGCAACTAGTTCTCTGAAGTGTTGAGCATGTTCGTCCGGATTCAAATGGAAAATCAGCCGTATGCTGTTGTAATGGTTCCATTGCTGGAGAAATTCATCCTTATAGGAGGTAGGGTCCCGTTTGATCAAATTTTGTAGTTGGGGGAGGTTCGAAGTAAGAAGGACAGAACGGCCGCCCATTTAACACACAGAAGAGTTGCAGAAGAGGATAGTATCCTACAGTAAATGTGATGGATAGGCGCCCAAATTCTTTATCACCGATTCCGCAACAGATAATGTGATGCCAATTATTGGACAACACCTTATTCCTTCTTAGCTCAGTTGGTAGAGCGCGTCACTAGTATAATCGTAAATGACGAGGTCAGTCGTTCAAGTCGGCTAGAAGGAAATTGTTTTTTAATTTTTGCCTTCGTTTATTTCTTTCTTTTAAAGGTGTAGCAGGAACTTATCCACTTCGACAGAACACTCAACGACGGCTCCATCTATTTCACAACAACATCAAATATCTCCTGGGTATCTATTTGTGCTACAACATCCGCTGACTTCTGTGGAGGCAAAAATATTTACACTGAACCGACATGACGATGAATACCATCGTGATATTCATCCACCAGAGTACCTTTTCCAACCTCATACTCCGACTCGTTCTCCATCTCTATCTTATCGTACGGCGAGATCGGGCCAGCGTCACTATCATCATGTACAACATGTACGTCTTGTCTGCAGGCATCATCGTCAGTAATCTCAGTCTATTATATATAGAATGTCAAGAACCCACCGTACTTGCACTGCCGTAGCATTAATCGTCGATCGAGTGAATGTGATAGGATCCCTTTGTTGGCCTGTGACAGCAGCATGGGATATAGCTTCTACAATAGGCGTCCGCGCGTTCACTGCGAACCGTTTTTAGAGTCGAGCGGAAAGAGGGGGTGATTTTCCCCACGCACGAGATACAAGCAATGAAAAAGTATAGACCTGCACGTAATGTATAATTTAGGGTTGGACCGTGTATAAATGGGCACGAATACACATACTTTGGCAATAGTCATATCAGAAAGTACTGTGGCAACATAATAAAAATTAGTTTCTCAATCTTAAAGGATGTATACGTGCTATAGTAGGATCCGACATTCGTTTTGAAGAGGATGACAAGAACAATTTGACAAAGGAGTGGTAGAACATTGCATTCAATCATCCGGCAGGTAACAACCCATAGGCTCCTGTAAAACACAGGGAGGTAAACTGAGTAATCGTATAGGGCCAAATCATATTTTTTCTTACTTTGGTGAGAGGATATGATGCTTTCGTTGCTTCCGGGATCGAATTTCGGTGTAGTAAGCGAGGCCACCAAAAATGCACATATCCGCAACGCTGGTATATGCGTAAATGCAATTTCGGTGTTTTACAACGAGCGAATGAGATCTTACATGTCACTTCCAAGCCATCCATAGCCAACAGGGCTGACAAGAATCAATAAGTCCTCGAGGATTCGGAAAAAATTAATTACGGAAGGTACGTACAATACGAGTTTTGAGTCATCGACTAACGTCGAGTGATGTTTGATGAGTTTGGAAAACATCCATAAGGCGATCGCTAGATGTGAGCTGGTAAAAAAAAACTCGAACACAATGATAGGACCAATTGTACCCCAGGATGCGGAAGATAGTAGTGCTATCAGCGCTGGAAGCAGCACATTTTTTCTCATCGAAATCATCCATATCCGGCTCGCAAACCAGATTTGTACGAGGAACGTCGCTGTAGGGCTATTGAAGATAAAAATCAAGACAGAACCATAGCTCAGACCTCTAAGCTCACAAAAACCACAATGTAGCTATGGCCTCCCTGCAAGAACGGGGTGAGTGCTTGTTTAGTATTTTCGAACAAGGAAAATGCTCACTGCGGAGTCGCGAGCAAAGCCGAGTCGTCTCCAAAAAAAATAAGAACATAAGACAACGGAACGAGTTGTGGAAGAACAGTGCCATACCACCAAAATAGGTCGACGACCACCGATAACACCATAGTCCTGGATATCGGGGGTGATATTGGGGCTCGGGCAGTCAACAGTCAGGAACTGCATGTACATACCGGAAACAATTGTGTCTCCCAGACATAAGAGTAGACAGGTCGTTACAATTGTTTTATAGAGCACCCGGTCATTGTAGAATTGCAAGAAGTATTGCCATCCTGAAACCATGTTAGGCATCGCCAGTAATCGTCCAAGTGGACACTCACCAAAAGCAAGAACCAAGCCAAAGCTCATGAATGACATCCATCCGCTTACAAGCTGTATGAAAATGCTGAGGATATTTATTCCTAGCACTGCATAATGATCACGCTCACTAAAGCACCAACCGAAAGCTTGAGGTCGCTCATTGTAGCTTGAAAGAGAGAGAGAGAGAGAACAGCGCACAAGTGCAAGATGTTGACAGACCTAAGGAAAGAGCGACGCGCCGAGGGCTTTGTGGTTAAAAACGTTGAAAGGTGTCAATTATTACTTATATATTCAGACTCAAAGGAGTTATTACTCACTAGTGGAAGACAAGGGCACGGAGAGGTCTGGAGAGGTCCAATATAGTGACATATGTATATGTAACATGAAACCCGAAACTTATTTCATGTTTTTTCGGGCTTGCGTGAGTCTTCAATATTCAATGTCATAAGTATTCAAATGTTGGATCGGGTCGACAACTGTCGACAACTACAGGGTCGAAAATTCGGACCGGGAAGACTTTTGAGAACGGATTTTCCGAAATGACCTGATTGGGTATACATTTCGATGCGTGGAGGATTCTAAAAGATTATTGTGTTCGTACAATAACTGCGTCATTGTCATGTTGATTTCATTCTTGCAAGGGAGCGCCACTATGCTGCAGTATCAGGAAAAAGATTGCTCCGTGGAGCGCGCAAGTCGGGAGAGGAAGAGATTAGGGGAGGGTTGTTCTGAGCTGTGATTGAGTCCTACCTAGACTCGAACCAGTCCGCTGCTGAGAAGCGATATGCGGAATCACCTTGCTTCGCTGACACCTTTGAGCGCCAGTTTCCAGAGTGTCAACATCCGAAACTACTGGCTTCGAGTCTAAGTCCTACCTAAGTGAGGAACCGTGCCAGTGCTTTGAACCGCTTACTCTTCTGTACTTTTCAATGCGTCCGAAATCTACACAAAAAATGGTCGGATCGGACCTAGTTGGTAACATTTCACAGCAGCACCACAGCGGCGTCATAAGTCTTGTAAGCCCACCGCGAGGGTCGAAACTTGCAGCCTTCATTTTGACTAGCGCTTCATAGTCTGACGCTTTATCCGATTGAGCTAAGCAGGCAAGTAGGTAGTAGTAGTTTATTTGTGCTTGTAAAACTGAAATGAACGAAAATCGAGTTCGAAATAGAAGGGAAATTATGGCTGGGAAAGGGCCTCGTACTAAGGCGCTGACCTTGCCTGGATTGCCTGACTTGGCTTCATTTCACAATTGCATACGACTTAAGGATATTTAAGGTCTCAGTCGGGAGGGTGGTTGGGCATTGTCAGAGCAATGAGCAGATGGGGAACACGCCGGGCCGAGAAGGAAGCCGCATATTTGCGATATCGAACGAAAACTGCGTCAATTATAGATGGCGAGAACCTAGGCAAGCAAGGTGACTGTTCCAGGACTGTTCACTCATCTCTGGCCCCGGAACCAACTTAGCAAACTGCCAATGAAAAGTTCTGGTTGCGGTTGGACTAACATCGTGATACTGCAGGAATGTTCACAGAGGATTGCTAGGAGAAGAACTTCTTTGGAGATAGCACGGGGCAAATTTTCACCGATAACAATATTCGTGAGATGCATATGGTCCAGGATAGGTGGAATGGAAACTAAAAGAGTAGCGCTAACCATTGCAGTCAGAGCGATGACCGGCTCAGTCGAATGTGGCGTTGAAGGATGTCTTTTCCCGCATATCTTATCTAAGAGATGGAAATGCGTACTTCCGACGATTCTAATCACGCAAAACGTAGACAATGAATTGAAAAATAGCTTGTGAACGGAAATCAGGAAAGCAGTAAGAAACAAAGTTTTGGTAAGAATTTCTACATGGAGTTTTGTGTAAAAAGGCGTACATTCATTTTTTAAGTTCTTACCACGTCCATTTACTTTCTTCCCTACCAAAATGGCCCAGCTATCATCCCCTACTCCTACTGTTCCTCGTCGTCGACGACACTCTGGTACCACGAGTGATTCAGATGACTTGCGTTCTGCATTACAATCTGCTCGTAAGGCAAACAGTAGCGGCAGGGTCGACCCGCCTCCAAGGCCGAAATCTACGCCTGGAGAGAGGCCAGCACTAAGAAGGAGACAGAGAAGTCCGAGTGGCAGTGGAAGTGAGTACGAGGACATAGAGATGACAGTTCAAGAAGAAGAAGCTATAAACACCGACCAAAACACTCTTTTAACAACGACCACGATGGACCGGCCCACCAAACCGCTTCCCACCCAATCACTTAACCCTCGAGCTCAGGCATTCAGTATCACAGTCAATCCTAATCTTCCCAATCTCTTCAATCCTCATCTCCTCCCTGCCACGGCTCATGTTCCTCGAGGCCCCGCTGCCAATGGTGCAGGTATCACCTCTTCATCGGTACCCAGGCGGCTTTTCGTCGTTCTTGAACAAGCTTGCCTCGAAGCGTATCGTATCTCATCAAGCTCAAAATTCAACGGCAAAAAAGGCAAGGATGGTGAAATCAAGTACACCCTCTTGAACTGCGATGACCATCAAGGCATTTTGGCCAAGACTGGTCGGGACATCGCTGATGCTAGGCCCGATATCACTCATCAAGTTTGTTTTCAACCGTTCCCAGCATTCTATTACACTGATTCATTATTCTACAGTGTCTCCTCACCCTTCTTGATTCACCGCTCAACAAGGCTGGCCTACTACAAGTCTACATCCATACAGCCAAGGGTGTTCTCATCGAGGTCAATCCTCATGTGAGGATTCCGAGAACATTCAAGCGGTTCAGCGGCTTGATGGGTAAGTTGATCGATGTAATTCTCGCAGATACCATACTAATCAGAAATAGTTCAACTTCTACATAAATTATCCATCAGGGGTGTCCAAGGTTCTGAAAAGCTACTAAAAGTTGTCAAAGTGAGTCATAATTCCTGCGTTGTTCATGGAGGCTGATTCCTGATCTTCTCATCTGTCACCGAAATCAACAGAATCCTGTTGTAGACCATTTTCCCCCTGACACTTACAAAATCAGTTCGTCATTGTCAGTTTAACTTGCGCTATCCGCTTATTTGAATGCATAGCACTTTCTGGAGATGCTCCCCTTCAAAAACTTTCAACATACCTTCCCACCCTGTTTGATCCACCCGCAGGTCTGTTTCGAATCCACGCAAATTTTATTTCCATTGACAGCTCCTTGTAGGTTCTGATCGTAAGCCAGCCAAGAACTTGGCTGTATTTGTAGGCGCTATGGCTCGCGGTAAGGACGATTTCGCCGACGCCTATGTTGATGAGAAAATTGGTGTCAGTCAATACGCATTAAGTGCTAGCGTAGCGTGCGGGAAGGTATGTACTATCTATTTTTGTGTGCTTCAATACTTACCCTCTGGTACAAAGTTTTGTTGCGCTTTAGAGGAGCTATGGGATGTCGCGTAGAGACCAGATCTTTCTCGATCGAGTTTCTTGCTTGTTTTTTTTTTCAGTTTTGGTTGTTCTTCGCATGTGTACCATCAACATCAACTGTCGACGCACCCACTATTTTGAGTGCGGATCACTCTGTATTCAACGCAGAGAACCCACCCTCTTTTCCAACCAAGAGGACCGACTTGTATTTTCAATCTGCTTTCAACGGCGTTGTGCTACTTGCTGAAAAACTAATCACATACATACTCTCAATGTTTACGCATACTAATTTAATGTTTACACATCCCATGCCTGTACTACTATGTATGTAGTTCGGCCAGTGTTTGGCTGCAGTGTCAATGGACCAGACCGGAAAGGATCCCTTTCCGGTGTGTCTCCTTACGTCTTGAGAAGCACTGAAGTAGTCGGTATTTCTGTTAGGTAAAATGAATGCAGCTTCTGGAGTGGTTAACTTGACGCCGGTGCGCTGAGTTCATTACATTGCCAGCAAGAATACCCTTTATTATATGGCCCGAATACATTTCACTTGATCTCCACTCGCTTTATTCGTTCCGGTCTTTACCTTGGTCCTTCATGGCCAGTACCCAACATGATGACACACTACTTGCAAGATGCTGGCGGTCAACCCGAAGACGTACAAGACTACTTGTTTTAGCTGTGATCGTCCTCTTTCTAACAACATACCTTTTTGGACGAGATTATGCCGTCTCTGCATCTCTATTTGCGGAATGGCAGTCGGCTCCTGTTGGAGCAGAGATGGCAGTAGAGGTACTCAAAACAGTCACTGCTACAGTGACGGTTACTTCGACGTACACTTCCCTTCCATTCGCTGAAACAATCACTGCCAACAAAGCAGTCGTATCACAGCCTGAGCCAGTGATATTTTCACTCATTATGTGGTCTCAAGACTCTGCTATGGAAGGTGCCCTCTTAATTAAGGCGTGTGTGTCTTTATTTTCTAATATACTCATTATCGCTAAACGATCATGGCAGACCATCCTAATGTACACCACGAGCCCGATAGAACTCCATATTATCTGCGACCAATCAGCCCGAGACTTTCTGGAAACAAGATTATCGTTGTTGACTGACCCATGTTACCCTCTCAGAGTCCGTTTCTATCAACCTTCACTACAGAGTATGAAGGATAGGATAGCTCGAGAAGGTTCAATACGGAGTGATCATGCAGCAGGTCTTCGTAAGTAATAATCTCCTCCGTTACGCTCTCAATTGAATAAGTTTCAATGATCAAGCTGGTCTAATGAAGCTTTTCATCCATGAGATTCTTCCTACAAGCGTCAAGAAATCCATTTACATAGACACCGACGCTATCTTCATTTCCGACCCAACCTTGTTGTGGAACGTATTTTCCCAACTTAAACCCACCACCGCTTTCGTCATGTCGTACCACCCCGATCAGGATTCACCTGTATGGCACCAAGCTTCGCGAATATGCAGCTGTGTCATGCTGTTGGATTTGGAAAAATTGCGCAAATTGCGCTTGATGGACTCGAGTGTGTACAGGGAGGTGATGGATGATTCCTATCCCCCAGCATTGTCCCCTCCTACATTTCGCGCCATGTATGGCGAACCAGGGTTGGATGGGTACAAGAACGTCAAGCTCGGTGATCAAGGTTATTGGTGGGCCATTGTTGATAGCAGGAAGGATATTTTCGAACCATTGAGCTTTGACTTCGAAGTTACTAGCTGTTTAATGGACACATATAGTATCACATTAGGTGAAGATGGTGTATCTGAAGTCCATGAATTACCCAGGCAAAGTCATGTCAAGGGAACTCCTCAGGAGGTAAGACTTAATCCATCCAAAGGGTGCTGCCATGAATTGACAAAGGACGCACAGGGTGCTCTGATCCGCCCAAAAGTCCTCCATTTGTAAGTTCAACCAATCCATTGTTTCCCTTGCTGACGGAGGAAATTAGCAACTGCCTTCATGGAACCGATGTATATATGAATTGGGAGGGATGGTCAAACTCCACTGAGACGGTGACGCGGCGTTGGGGACCTGCCTTATCCTATCATCATGGGTACAAATGGATTTGGCTTAACCGGGGTGTAACGACCAACAACTCCGGTGACAAATTAGTGGACATTAGTGCCAATATCAACGTCGTGTTCGAAGATCTGCAGTTTGCTCGAAATCATGCCATTGCCAACAAACAGTGAGCCGGACTCGCTGGCATCAGTTATAGTAATATTCCTTTATAGTATAATCCACAATAAAAACGCGTATAATAGCAGATGGTACCCCATCGAAATTGATATTTTGCTTGAATCGATAAACTTGTCTGAAGAGGTCTGAAATATGTCAATCGCGTGGGTCGGTGTGTTGCAAATGTCTCTCAGAATTGCAGCTGTACCAGAAATCAATGTGCTCTCAAATTATATACGGACTTCTTGCTTCCTCCGGTTTTGCGTGCAAAGCGCAAAAAACTTGCTCCCGGATTCCTTCCATTTCTCCGCCACGTATGCTTCACGTTCCTCAATATTACTGTGTGGTATGCCAGAAGTATCAGCAAGAATCCTCTGGTACATCTTGTAGTCTAGAACAGGAAATAGCGTGAGTCGGCCCCAACTCCAAGAACTAAATGGCATACCGGATGGCGGTTGTATGCTAAGTTGCTTGAGTGTTTGAAGGGGAATTATTTCTTCGGGAAGTCGACCAAGCGAAGTA